TTTCTCAGCGGATTTGGGCTGTACTCAGCAAGTGCACTACAGCCCCCAACTCAGATTTGAAAAAAAAACAGTGGATGGTTGTTTTCTGACTGGTCGCCAGACCGCAATACGGTCGGTGGTCGGGGTCAACAGTCGGCAGGGAGGCAACCCCGCAAGTGAGGGGATATCGATCGCCATTGTAGTAATGAATGAGAGAATTCAACCAGAGTACCTGAAACCAGTTGCTGTCTGTGGTTGAAAGGAGCGCGAAAGATGGGAGACGGAGAGTGCGATTGGTAACTAAGGGCAAGAGCAGCCGTGCTGAAGCAACCGGGTGGTGGTAATGGACTACGGTGGTCTCACTGAGGGCGGTACGGGAATGGTGGAGGCGCAGCTGACAGGACAGTTGCGATGGAGATAGCCTCACGTGGGTAGAACATACATGGGCAGTGATGTGTTCTTGTAAGCACGATCAGTCTCCCTTCCACCAATGCAACAGGGAGCAGCACCCAATTTGTGGGCAAGGAGTCTGTAGTGATCGTGTGAGCGTGCATGCAAGGGGGGAGGAGGGGGGAGGGGTTTGAGAAGGGTGGATACGCAACTGCAATGAATGCTTCTTTTGGGGGGGGGGAGGAGCAGGGGGAGGTTGCTCAACTGCAATGAACAGAATGACTGCTTAACTTACAAAGGGCATGGAAAGGTGGGAAATACATGGCAGATTGCTCGTCGTTGTAAATGATTCTTGTAGCCGTGATCCCATCTGTGGTTGTACTTGCGGTAGTAGTGGGTTGTCACGGCACGTTGTGTGTTGTCATGTTCGCTATAGGCAACTCCACAAAGAAAAGCACGACTGTGCCAGACTAGTCTGTCGGACTTTCACCGACTCATCAGGAGGTTGAACCCCAACGGTCTGCCCAGAGGATCCATTTGACTCATGGATATGGACTCACCACGTCATCCAGAGGAGAGAAGTGGTCGACATTACTCGCACCAACCCTGCGATCGTAGCAGAGTTGTTCTAAACCCCTGACAAGAATGTGTGTGTGCATGTTGTGTGTGTGTGTGTGTGTGTGTGTGTGTGTGTGTGTGTGTGTGTGTGTGTGTGTGTGTGTGTGTGTGTGTGTGTTTGTGTGTGTGTGTGTGTCCGTCTGTGTGTGTGTGGTGTTGAGGTGGAAAGCATTGACGGATCCACATCTCCAAGATCAAGGCCAGGTTGTGGAATGAAAGGGGATATATTATTTCAACTTTCGAATGTTTCCATATGTTGAGAAAGTGCTGGTTTAAACCAAAAAAAAAAGGAAAAAAAGTGCTCTTTTTTCTGGTTGTTGTTGCTGTTGTTAATGTAGATGTGTGCATGTGTGTGAGTTTGTGTGTTGGGTGTTGCAAGGTGTAGGCGTGGGAGGCGGGGAAGGGGAGTGAGGGGTGTACCGAGTGGTGGGGTTGGTCCGGGTGTCTTTTGGCAGTGTAGATGGAGGTCTGTTGCACCCTTGCCCCTGCTTTTGTGCTCGCCGTCTGATTCCCTCTCCTGATGTGAGTTCTCTGAATTGTGTTTGTCTGTGTCTGGCTGGCGCCGCTTTGTTCGTGCAGTCTCCTCCAAAGGGAAGCGAGGAGGCACGCCTGCTGGACGCCTGCATTAATCCCAGGGAATGGGTGTAGTTTTCATCCCAATCTACTTGGATAGGGGCCCCTAATGCGATTTATGTTCAACCAGTGCCTCTTGCAGCAGTTGCTTGCCGTACTTCTCGTGCGCATTTGAGTCAACCGGTGCCTCTTGCAGCAGTTGTCGTACTTCCGGTGCGTATCGGAAGTGCAACCGGACGATGGCTTCGTATATAATTGTAGGGCTAGGGGGGTATTCAGTTTAGAGCGTCAAATCCCCATACTAGGACAGAGTGGAGGTCTCTGTGAAGGTGTTGCAGGGAATCGAAAGGCGTTGCACTGTAAATTAGGAGTTGGGTAGAAAGGCGAGTGCTTGCAGAATAGAAATGCAAAGTTCATCCTGCATGATAGTGTGCAGGAAAGACTTGGGAGAGATTTTGCACAAGGGGGAAGTGATCGTGAACTCTAGCGGCGACTAGTACAGAGTTTAACGGAAGAAGAAAGGGTGTTTCGAGCCCTGCTTGGCTGATTGTGAAGGCATGAAAATTGGCTAGTTGGAGCAGCAGCTATCATGAAGAAGAAGAAGAAAGGGTGTTTCAAGCGCTGCGTGGCTGATCGAAGGCAAGAAAATTGGTTAGTGCGTCAACGGCACCAATTGAATGTGAATAATAGCAGTGAAAGTATTTTTGACAGGGTCTCTTCCAGGCATAATTTTCGCTAAAATAAAAAACTAGCAATGTACGTTGCAGTGGAAGGAGGTCGAGATTGACCGAGTTTTTAGACGTTGTGGTCTGTTCATTGGGGAGGCACTGTGGGCATTCTTCTCAATGCATAGACTGTTGTTATAGATGCGTGTGTCACATGACAGGAAAAGGAGCCATATTTTGTTCTTTTCTGTTTCTCTTTCCTTTTCTTTGGGCTTGTGATTCGCCGGTTTTTGGTGAAGTTTTCCAAAAAAGGTGTTTTTTTTTTTGTGTCGTTAAGGCACTGGTGACTCTTCTTATTCGTCAGACTTTTTCTTCGTTAAGGAACTGGTGACCTTCTTACTCGTCGATGAGTCGTCGGACTTTTTCTCTGTCAATGACGATGTGTATTTCTGAGGAAGGGCTGTGTTGCTTCTATGTTCCGCGTGTGCTTTTTTTCCTTTTCTTTTTTTCTTTTTCCTTTTTCTCTCTTTAGAAAGGGTTGCCATGTTTCTTTCATCATGTCTTTTGTCTTGGCCTGGTATTATTTCTTGTTGTGGTTGAAGGGGTTTTGCATTTTTGAATTTTCTTTTTAATAACAAAATTAATCTCATATTAAAATCAATGCAACTCGAGGGCGGGGGACCTCACACAATTCAACCCGGGGTTGCTTTTTTTTGTTGTTGTCCTTTTGTTTGTTTGTTTGTTGCAATTTTTCACAGGGGTTGGCACTTTCCTTTTTTTTTTTTTTTTTTCCCTTTTTTTTGTATAAAAAGGTCTCTTAGGGGTTGGCACTTTCCATAAAAGCTGATCCACAGAAGTGGATGTGTATTGGAGAAAGGAGCCCGGTATAGTAAAGAGTGAAGAGAGAGGTGCTGGCATCCAATGACGATGGTTTGTGACTTGTAGTTTTGTGATTTTTTTTGACTGAATTTGGCTGCAATTGCAGTCATCATGCATGAAAGTCCTGATGCAATTTTGTGCTGAGACAAGGTGAGATTATTTTCAGGTTATGACCCTGTAGATAGTTACATAATTGCTGTGGCAGTCATGGCACATACCAATATGGGAATCGGAAATCAGAAGCAAGGGAAGTTTGGATTTAAACCGCAAGTACACGGCTCCAGCCTTGCAGAAAGTTTTTTGTCGCCACAAGCAAAACTCATAGGGGCCGTGCGGCGTGGGTCGCCATTGAAAAAAAAAATTGGCGGCCTCCGAAGTGGTGCGGGTTTTGTGCTGACACTCGCGGGCCGATGTGTGGTGTACTGGTGCTTTAATCCGGGGCTCTTTTGTACAAGGCGGATTCCCTCTCCATGCCAAGCTTTGCCTAAACGCCAGTGTGGTGTTTTTGTTTTTTTCTGGTGCTGGCAGCCATTTTTTGTCCGGTTGCCCCGAGCCCCAAAAATTTTAGGAGATGCTCAATCGTGATTCTCAACTTGATGTTAGCTGCGGCCATGTGCTGCCGGTTTAACATGCACGCTCTTTACAGCCGACGTTGAATGGTTATGGTTTTCGCCAGCGCATTCTTCTCCGTTTGTTTGTTTGTTTGTTTGTTTGTTTGTTTGTTTGTGTTTCCCAGGTTCATCTCAGCATTCTGCCAGTTATGGAGATGTATGTTTGCAATTGGGGCAATGACGCAAAGGGAAAAAAAAAGAAAAAAATTTGATGGAGATGCTCTGTTCTTGAGAGCAGGAAGAAGAATGAAAAGCTAAAATGAGCAGAGAGTTCCACAGGCAGGGTTAAGTGGGGTGTAAGCAGAAGAACAGCTCTCCTTTCATTCTGGGGGGCAGGAGTCTGGTTAAATTCCAAGGGGAGGACCGAAAAGGTCAACAACACACACAACCCTGCACCTGTCAAGGCAGGTGGAACCATCACCCCTAATCTGCTGAGATGGATACCCTTATTATTTCTTTGCACGAGTGACCAAAGCATAGAGTACTTCCCCTAAAGAGAAGGCTTCATCTCTGGTTCCCAATTACCTCCCTACATTCTGGCCAATCGTCGAGTCAAATTGCAGTCATGCATTTTGCACAACTAATCTCCCAAATCTTAACTCTGGGGATTATACTCTCTGCCCCGCTTGCCTGCCCCCTGGGAACAGACAGCAGCTTCCCTTCCTCCATCTGAGATTGTCCCAAACATGCGCTACTCAAGAAGGTAATCCCCTTTCACGCCCGGTAGCTGGCATTATGGAAGGAAACAGAGCGGCACACCCCACCTATGCCTCATTCCCCTGCACAAGCATGTACGCACCTCGTACATGCATTTTTTGTCCGTATTTATTTTCTTTATTTCACCACTACCTTTCAGAGGCAAACTCCCTCTTTTTTTTTTTTTTTTTTTTTTTTTTTTTGGTAGTAACCCGAGTCCCGTGGCTTCTATCTCCCTTCAATCATGGAAGCAGGTGCTATCACCAATGAGTGGACCCCAGTCAGAGGCAAACTCTCAAAAGCGAACTCGAAACACCAACCGACAAAGCCTACATCGCATTCTTGCTAGGTAGCACAGGTTATCTGGCCAGATAATCTGGCCGGATTATCGGGGGGTAGAATCATTTTGGAAATCCGGATGATTAAAAAGAAGGCCAAAAAAAAGGAAAAAAAAAAAAGGAAAAAAAAGTGATATTGCGCATGCAAATTACAATAGAACTACATTCTTATTTCATGAAAAGCTTGATAGGGCATGGAAGGGTTCAAAGGGGGTAAGATAGGGAATAAAGGGGTTTAGAGGGGGGATGCTTAATTCATTTTAACATTTTTAATCTATATATTATTTTCTTTTTCTGTTTTATTTTTTTATCTTCATATCGGTTGAGATATCAAAGATGGCCTCAAGCCAAAAGTTATGTTCATCATTTATATGAACAACATATTTTTTTTCCAGATTTTTTTTTTTGTTTTTCGGTTAAAAAAGCATATTTTGCACAGGGCCGAATTTTCCATATCTGGGATTAATCTGGGATTCATTTGGGATTCATCTGGAAAGTTCAACCGGATTGAAAATTCCGGATAAATTTGGTATGTCGGATATCCAGATTTGCTACCTAGCATTCTTCGGGTGAACAGTGCTACCGGACCAAGGTGGCTGGCGGCGCCAGCCATAAACAAGAGGAATGTTGCCCTGGTGCTTCGACAAGCTTGGTGTGCAGCTCTCCTCCGCCTCGGCAAAAAGAGGCTTGGAGGCATTGGTGGTTGGACACTAAGGAGGAATAGCGGATTCATGTGAAAGCTATGCAACAGGTATCTCAATAAGACAAACAAATTATAAACCAAGAATTAGTGTTAGATGTATAAGCAATAACCATGGGTAACTAGAATTTATGTAAAAAAGAAAATTAAAAAAAAAATATATATATATATATATAACTTTGAGAAGCAAGGTCCATGGAAAGTGTCTGGAGTTACTGGAGTGCAACGATTTCTATGTTGAATTTTACACAAAATAGGGTAGTGGTTTTTGAACTTTCGATCTTATATTATTTTAAAACTTCAATAAGGTTTATGTATATCAAAACTGGCGACATGTATAATAGAAGGGGCTATCAACCTGTTGTACAAGAAAAATGGTATGACCACTGTACACATTTGGATAACTATCATACAGCTGGATATGTATGGTAAGATATTAGATAATATTCTCTCCTGGATAATAAGCACAGTGGTTCCCAGCCTGCTCCACTTGGACCAACCTTTTTTTTGTGGAAGCCAAGTGTTGTGTATTATAGTGCCTTATGGTCAGGCTGTAAAATTAGTCAAGATTCGACAATATAATAAAGAGGTTTCGAAAACACATGAAATTTTATCTTTGGTTCTAACAAGAAAAAAGTCGTTGGATTATTAAATCGTCGTGTTTCTTAGCCATTTTCAAGAAATAAGTTGTGCATGCTGGCGCTTCAAGCAAAAGATATATTGGGGTGTTATTCCGCTCGAAATCCATCCAGGAAAATCAGACTGCACTAGTACGTTTCCTAAAAACGCGTTGTACATGTTGGTATGTTTGGCGGGATGCACGAAAGTGTCTTTCATCTGAAGATCCATTTGGGCAAAACTGGTTGTATGCTAGGCTTGATTTGCCTGGATGGATATTGGGTGAAACATCACCTCGGTGCATCTCACCTAAGGCGCCTACATGCACGGTGCATTCTTACAAAACGGAAGCGAGGTGTACTGGTAGTTTAACATTTATGAAGTCCTTGAGACAAGGATGTTGTCGGACCGCTCTTTCGTGTGTTTGACAACATAATGTTGTTTGGCATGATCGAGTGTAACTATTAAATTTGTCACGCTACACTTCCTTTTGAAAAATGTACAAAATGAGGGTAAAGGCAACATCCATGCTTTAAGGAGTTCATAAGGATACATACCGGATAGAGAAAATGACATTGTATACCCTAAAAGCTCTTGGTTTTGATCATAGCGCCAATAACGCAAAATGAACTGCTTATGTTGAACCACTTTCAAAATTTGGGGATTAAATCCCTACATAAAAAAAAAAAATTGATAACATCTAAAGGCAATCAGGCATTGATGTTTTAGGATTCGTTCGATCCACAAAGGCATATTGTATCTCTCACATATGAAAGATAAATAAGGAGGATTAAACATACTGTAAGAAATAACAACATCTTATTTTTAGGATATTATCCGTCCTAGTATGAAAAATTGTCCTGGGGACTTCGAAAAAATGGTCGACGAAGAAATATTTTTTTAATATGTATTTGGATGAAAAACAAAATATGGAAAGAAGCAGGGTGGTTGCGTTCGGGACTGACCAAACGCCTGAACGTACGGGCCCGCTTGGGGATGCATTCGGTCGTTCGGCCCGAATGCGGATCACAAAAAAAAACAATACTTGCCTTAGCATTACATCCAAGTTCCTTACCGAATTCGAAATAAAAATAAAATACGAAAACTAAACACTAATAAAAAAAATAAGAAAAAAAAAAAAAAAAGAATTTCGATAGTTAAATTTAGTGCGTATGAAAACCAGTTTTCAACACCTCAATCTTTGACGATTTTTTTTTTTTTTTTTTTACATATCCAAATGCCCTTAAAAAATTATATATGTATACTTCAAATAATATCAAAAAATAATAAATTGATTAGGCCCCAAAATAAAGTAAAAAAAAAAAGGTAAAAAAATGGAATTAAAAAAAAGTGAATGGGCGAGCACGTTTTGACACCTCCATTTTTGAAGATTTTTGTTTTTGTTTTGGCAAAGTAAAATGACTTCAAAATTTATGCGCATGTACCTAACATCATAGAGAACACATAAAACAAAATTCAGAAAAAAAATAAAATTATTTTTAAGTGCCGAAATAATTTTTGGTGGGCGCCAAACCCCTTCAAGTTCGGACCCCGAACGGGATTTCGAACGCCCGAACGTACGGACGTACGTCTGGGGGCTTCCGTACGTACGGGCTGGTAACCCAGGAGAGAAGTGTGTACCCGGTATTAATGCAGTGAGTAAAAACTCAAAATAATGAGTATAAAATAACTCATAAAATAAATATGAATGTTTATCATTTATTTTTTTTTTGGTTAAGATGTTGCAGATCAAAGTAAGGAAGACCATAAAAATATTATTAGGAATTTATGAGGGATTATCACTCGTTATC